TGTGCTGCTTTATATATTTTTTTACATTTTACCTTATTTGTATATTTGTATAGTTGTATTTTATATTTAATCTGTATCTATCTGTATTTATGTTCTACTGTTAGTGTTATCTGTATGCACCAAGGGTCTGAGAGTAACGCAATTTCAATTCTCTGTGTGTATGTGCTGTACATGTGGAAGAATTGACAATAAAGCAGACTTGACTTGACTTGACTTTGTGCTCTTTTTGAAGAATTTTCGGAGCCTGATTAAATCGGTATAAATATGTGTTTAATACTGCAAAATACGCTCGATGGTACAGTCACTGACCTTGCCTTCCAGAATAAAAGAGAACATCCCAATCGAGTGAAGGGATTTGTGGAAACTGTGGTTCCTAATAATTGAGATCCAACATTTGCCTCGCATTTCAGGATGAAAAGACAACAATTTCAGGTGAAGGATAATCCACTTCTTACCTCCGAGACTGTGTTATGATCTATATGACCTTATTTTTTATTGTATTAGGCTTATCATTATTGCTGATCACTGTTGTTGTGCTATGATATTGTAATATTTACCATTATATAATCAGAGAGGTATAGAAAAGTTTATGAAAGTGTCACTCCACAATAGCAAAATATATAAATTTGTATAGTATTTTTATGTTACATTAATCAGTGTCTAGCACACCTTCCTATATGGACCAGAAGACATTGCAGTTACAAAATGATATTTAGACAGACTTAAAGAAGTTCCAGATCTATACTTGTGCTCTTATTATTTCAGTTATATTGCCTTTAATGTAAATAAACATAAAACCAGATGTTCTCACATAAAGGCCATTATTTAGGCATGAACTGTAAAACAAAATATTACTTGTTTACGGCAATTGTAATTCCTGTGTAAATACATGCTTGTAATGTACTGAAATGAAAATTCAGGATGCATTTGGCCAAAAAACAAAAATGAGTTTTTGCGTATAGTTCTATTACTATTAGACTTTTTAATTAATCTCATGGATTTATGTATGTATGTATGGATGGATTTTTTATTCTGAAACACTGAAAGCAAAACTAAAATGTTAATTTAGCTGAAAACCTAAAATAAAAATTTTGAATAAAATGTATATAATAATTAATTAATCAAATGTATTTAATAATCAACACTCAAATACAAATAAGTTGTACAAACATTTAAATTGCACGTAAGACAATTTTTATATAAACTTTTGAATAATATAGTCACCTTTTTTTAGAATTATGTTTCTACTCTAATTTGTTGGTGAAATATAAAAATTTAAACAATGGCTGTAGTTTCATGACAGATTTATTCAAACATATCTTAAATAGCCTAATGAAGAAATCGTTACAGGTTGAATACACAGGTTAAGTAAAAATATAATAATCATATGCATATATTTATCAAAATGTGACTTGTAACTTTACTACACTAGTACACTACTACTACTACTACACTTTTATCCATTTCAAGGTCAAAGCAATCCTCACATGGAAACTGCAGTACATTTAAAGTGGCACACATAAGTGAGTAAAGTTTAGGCAGAGTTTGAGAAAGAAATGCTCAATAAACAAATGTTTGTTGCTGTTAATTTTGATGTAAAATATTCAAGTCCATGTTTGATAAAGTATCAGAGTATGTTTAGGGGTGCCTTCCTAAAAGCTTGTTGCAGTGTAAACATAAGACTATTGTGGTTGCTGTGTATTGGTGTTTTGTTTACTGTAACACAATTATTTTAATCTGGGTGTAGTGTACATTTTTTCCCATCCTCATTCAACTATGAAGACAATTCAGATTCTGCTGTAAAACAGCTCTAAAAAATAGTTTCGTTATTCAACTGGAGTCAGTTCAATATCAATTCAATTCATTTCAATACCAGTGTTGATGTTGCAAGATGCAATTTATTTGCAAAGCAACTCTACAGAAGATGATAGTGCCATCATCCAGCTTAATTCAGTTAAAATGTTATGTACTTTGGATAAAAAAAAAAACAACAACACATTGCCTGAATGACAACTTGTTACTTACATGTTACATACATGATTAACATATGTACCACTTAATTACTTAAGGAAAAAATATCATTACTGTAATACCACTTTATTATGTTATTAACAGCAATTAAACACATTTGACCATCTTATACATTGTAGGAGTAATAAAAAAATAATTCCTTTGTAATTTAAAAATGTAAAGTAAATGAGAGGAAAATATGGAAGTAAAAAAATAAATAAATTGGGGACATACTGGTCATTTTTGACCCCATATGCATTTTAGGGTTAAGAATGATTTTAAATAGTTGCTTTTAATTATATCTTAGTCATAAAAACTACTGGAAAAAATGCTTTAATTGTGATATAAAATAAATAACCTGCAAGAAGTTTTGCCAAGGTGGATTATTGTAAAATAGTTTCCTCTCCATAACTGTTGTAGTCCGACATTTTTTTTATTATTTACTGTTTACATTATATAATATATCACTAGATGTAAATTGGCAATTTAGTGGCACGTTCTGCTTATCTTTTTTTTTTACTTCACTATATTGCTGTTATATCTCAAAAATAACAGATTAGAACACAGCAGCCTTAATTAATAGTATTTCAGAGAGGAGAATAATTTTGAATAAACGATTAAACTAAACAACGGTTCTTTAAAAGGGGATAGTTTATTATCATTATATGTCATAAACTCAGATGTGCTTTCTTGATGCGAGAGAACCAATGAGGTTTGTTCTCACACATCAAGCAAGCATGGATAAGCTTCCATGCTTAACATATTTGGTGAACTCTATGTATGTTATTAAATGTTTATAAAACAATAAAAAGCCTAAATTAATTCTGTTCTGTATGCTTGATTCACATGGATTTTTTTTTTTTTGTATACCTTTTGACATGTGAAAGTTTTGTTTATGTGAACTTTCAGTGGATGGACAAAACAAGGAGAGTATTAAAAATACCTTTATTTGTGTTCCAAAGATAAACAAAAGAGTAGTCCTCTGTTTAAATGTTTTTATTTTATTTGTACAATTTAAGTTTCATTAAGATTCAAAATAGTGGTCTCTTCAAGTTAGTAGCACTTAAAAACAACATGGAGAGCAACAATGAAATCTAAGATAATTTCTCACGATTTAGTCAAGTCAGGCATAAAAGAGAAACAGATTAAAAATGGATTGCTAGGTAAAAATCTTTTTCTCAGTTGATTTGAAAAACCTTGAAGCAAAGTATATTGCAGTGGAAGATGAGGGACTTTTGAACTCTTTCATTAGTTAAATATGTTTTCTTTCTATAAGAATGTAAAAAAAAAAAAAAAACAACACCAAAAAATAAATATTTACATTTATACCTATGGTATCTTATTTTCATAAATGTCCATTAGTTTCAGTTTCAGTTTCAGGTTTATCCTCCACGGAACAGATCATTTAATCTATCCAGCTCTTTGCAGTTCTCCATGGTCATGAGTTCAGCCTTCCGCTGTAGTCTTTCGTCTCTGTAGACCTTAGCAGCATACAGTAGGTCTGTTTCTGAAGGAGATGACATGGTGTACAAAATATTACATTTACATGTACATTAAAGGGATAGTTCATATAAAACTGAAAATTCTATCATTAATTACTCACTCTCATGTTGTTCCGAACCCATAAGACCCACGTTCATCTTCGGAACACAAATTAAGAGATTTTTTTAAGAGCTTTCTGAGCCTGCATAGACAGCAATGCAACTGAAACGTTCAAGGCCCAAACAGGTAGTAAGGACATTGTTAAAATAGTCTATTGACATGTGACATCAGTGGCTCAACTGTAATTTTATGAAGCTACAAGAATACTTTTTTTGCGCAAAGAAAACAAAAATAACACCTTTATTCAGCTATTTCTTCTCTTCCGTGTCTACCTTCTGCCATTCATGAGAGTACCTTGCTGAGTAACTGCGCCTTGTTTACAAGCAGAGGAATGCACACGCATGCGTCGTAGTACTCTCGTGAACGTGTGTTTATTTTTGTTTTCTTTGCGCACAAAAAGTATTCTCATAGCTTCATAAAATTACGGTTGAACCACAGATGTCACATTAACTATTTTAACAATGTCCTTACTACCTTTCTGGTCCTTGAACGTTTCAGTTGCATTGCCGATTATGCAGGGTCAGAAAGCTCTCGGATTTCATCAAAAATATCTTAATTTGTGTTCCGAAGATGAACGAAGGTCAGAATGACAGAATTTAAATTTTTGGGTGAACTATCCCTTTAATGTACTTTACACATGTACTTTATGTACTATTTACTCTTTTAAACAATGGTTTCCCATATAAACTCAGCAGAAAAAAAGAAAACAAAAAAAGAAACCTCCTCTCACTTTCAACTGCATGTGTACAACATGTGTAAATATTTGTTTTAACATAAAAAGTTAAACAATTGAGAAATAAACTGAACAAGTTTCAAAGGGATTTATCGAACTGAAATGGAATAATGGGTTCCTTAACAAAGGGGGTGGGGTGGGGCAGGTGCCAATATCAAAAGTCACAGTCGAGTATCTTGTGTGTGCAGTGTCAACCAGCTGCTTTATGTACTACAATGCATCTCATCCTCATGGACTGCAAGATATTTGCCAGTTCTTGCTACAAGATGTTACCCTACTCTTCCATCAAGGCAAGTTCTCAAACATGGCTGGGCGGGGGGGACACATCGTTACAGGTGGCTTGATACTGCAATGATGATCAGCTATCCTTCCTGTCTCCCTGCAGCTGTCTTAGGCATCTTATATGACAGACTTTGCAGTTTATTGCTCTGGTCACATCTGCAATCCTCATGCCTCCCTGCAGCAGGGCTATTCTTTATCTTTATTCTGCTGTTTTTCAGTGTGAAAGGTCTCTTTACTATCCTAAGGTATTGTAAATGTGACCTTACTTGCTTATCACCTGTAAACCGTAAGTGTCTTAAAGGGGTCCTATTATGCTCTTTTACAAAGTCTTGATTTTGTTTTGGGGGTGTACTAGATTTGGGCACTGAGGTGAAAAAAACAGCGTTTCAGGCGGTCGCTCACCGGACGAGAAGCGCAGTGTCGCGCCACGTCTTTAAAATTCAAATACATTATTTTCTATGAGTGTAGGCACACCAGCGGCGCCGTTCGGCATCTGTACGCGGCGCCCAGCTACGTCATGTTATATTTGTAAGAATTGTTCAAGACCAGCGGTTCTCAATTCCAGTCCTCGTGTACCCCCGCTCTGCATGTTTTGCACGTCTCTCTCTGTTAACACACCTGATTCAGTTCATCATCTCGTTAGAAGTGAGCTAGAATTATAAATGTTGGCAACAGTTGTGCTGCCAAATATTTTTTTGGACTTTTTTTCAGGATTCTTTGATAAATAAAAGGTTAAAAAGAACAGCATTTATTCAAAATATAAATCTTTTCTAACAATATAAATCTTTGCTATCACTTCTTAAA